CGGCCACGGGTCACTGGTTCTGACCCACTCAGAACGTCTGGGCCCAGCACTGGGCCCCCTGTGGCTCCATGCAGTTCAGTGAGATCAGGCTGGGCGCTGCCTCCGAGGGCTGCTCTCCAAGACCCAGATCTGTGCTGACAACAAAGTCGCTGTCTTCCTGCAGAATCGGCAGAACCGAAGCCTCCAAAAATGGCTGAAAATTCTGAAGAATTGGCAGAATTATCAGAACACTCAGAAGGTGGTGTGGCGGCGGAGGAGCTGTGGGGAAATTCTCTGCCCCTTCGGAGTTCATCACCCACGTCTGTGGGGGCGCTGGGTTCTCTCCAAGTCTGCTGGCGGCCCACGGTCCCTATCTCCAAGGACACAGACCTTGGCTCAGCCTCCTGTCTCCCATTCAAGGTCCCCACTGGGAGACAACTGATGGCAGGCTTGGGCATGCCCCGGCCGAGGAAGGGAGTCCATGGCTGAGATCCATGTTCCCTAAGCCCAGACCACCTCTGTCCCTGGGGATTGACCCGAGCCCTCCCAGGACAGCAGGCACCCAGGCCCCCATCCTGCTGCAGCCTCTGCCCCCAGCCTGCCCAGGGTGCCCTGTGCCTGGCTCACCAGAGCCCCTCCTTCCTGCAGCTGCGCCGCCGGATTTACAAGGGCGTCCCTGCCCAGGTGCGGGGGAAGGTGTGGGGCCTGCTCCTCGGGGTGGATGCGGTGAAGGCGGAGAACCCCGGGGCCTATCAGGTAGGGCCCTGAGCTTGGGGCCAGAGATGCCACTCCCGGGCCAGGTGGGTCCAGAGCTCAGCACATGGTTGGCATAGCCTGGGATGGGAAGAGGCCTCCTTTGGGCACTGTGTGCTCCTGTTCCTCTCTGGATCGTCCCTCTGGCCTTGTTCAGCATTGTCCAGTTGTGACTGCCCCTTTCCCGTCACCATGTCCTGGCAGTGTCCCCATTGGGAGGTTGTATGCAGCTTGTCCTGGGCGGGCCCATGGCTTACACTGGTCCCCTGGAGAAGAGAACCTCATGCCTGCCCATCAGCAGAGGGTAGTCCTCAGGGGACCCCTCGGCAGGGCTCTGGATCTCATGGGTGACACGGGCACCGTGGTCAGCTGACACCAGGGACCTCCAAGGTCAAGGACTCAGGGACCTGAGCCTCCTGGTCCCCAAACTCTCCTTCGGCCCTTGCTGGACCCTGGGGTCTGTGGGCACTGGGGTGGTGGAGGCGGGGGCTCTGTGCTGAGGCTGGTCCCGCCCTCCTCCCGCCCTCCAGAAGCTGAAGGCACAGGGCCGGCTGCGGTCACAGTGGGTGCAGCAGATCGATGTGGCCGTGAGCAAGACCTTCAGGGGACACGTCATGTTCCGGGAGCGATTCGGAGTCAAGTGAGGCCATGGGCAGTTTGTGACTGAGGAGGGATTCTGTGGGAACCAGTGCCATGGAGAATTGGGAGTGTCCTAGGTGAGATGTGTGATGCTAGCACAAGTGTGGGGTTCCTGGAAGTTTTGGGGCCCACAGGAGGTGCTGAGGCTGCCCCGTGAAGGATCAGCCATCACAGGGCCTTGAGCAGCTGCTGGGTGCCAGGTGCTGGTTGGAGACCTGGGCAGGTGGGGCCATAACACAGGAAGCTCCAGAGGACAGGGACAGCAGCAGAGACAGCCCAGGGACAGGAGCCAGGACCCTGGAGGCCAGAGTGGCCTGGGCCAGGACCAGCCCCT